CCGTGTAGGAGCATCATAGTTAGAATCATATTACTATCTAATGATATCACTTGACTGATTCCGATGTATGTGTCACCCTTCCGTTCTGGTGGTGTGTTGGTGTCTTGCGGTTCTCGTTCTGTTAGTTTCTAAGCCCCATCATTAACTGCCTTAATAGTCATACCTTTTTCTGAGTGCCAGAATCAGAAGTACTTGCCAGATGTTTACCTAAGGGGCGGTCTGTTGATTCTTTTATTTAATATGGGTCACACGCTCGCCACTATTAATGTCAGAATTAGCAGTAATTGCCAGGAAAGAGTTTACTGATGATCGCCCTTAAACCCGGTATATTTGCTCTGAAGTGTACGCATTTGCATACGTGTGAAGTCTGGACATATGAATGATTTTAGTTTCAGACTTAAGTGTCCCAGAAGCATCTCTTAAAAACAGCAAGAAAAACGGACTTACTACGGCATCTTTAAGAAAACAACCTGCCTAGTAAGTATCAGCATGCTTCTGGTAGGGAGCGACCCTGTCTTATTAATTAGCTCTTATCCTTGGAGATCTGGACGAGAAAAATCGCAGTTAATTTATCAGTAGACGCAGGGTAAAGTTACTTCAGAAAGGCTTTCGACAGTGTTCCATACAATGGGCATCCCAGCCTTCCTCGTGTGCTTCCTGCTAGATACTCCAGTTTACAGATTGTTGCTTCTTAATTTCTTCAGAAATTAACTGCGAACATTGAGTAGGTCGATTTAAGTCAGTTTATTAAGGGAATGAGGCTTTCGCCCTTGAGCTGAAACCGCTGCCACTAACACAATCATGATTATGTGCACAGTAGTTTCTCAGAAAATGAGCGCCTTATCTTAACTTAAAGGACTCAATAGTCAGTATATACCAGGGTCTATAGACGCTGATTAAAACTTAAAACATGCATATTTGGGCCGAAATCCATCAGCCGTGTGGTCTGCGCCCATAGACCTTTCTATAAGCTGATCTACTCCAAGTTAGCAATTAATTTCTGAGGACATTAAAAAGCCACAATTTATAGACTGAAGTAGCTATCAAAAAGCAGACGGGGAGTGCTGGGGTCCCACTGAAGATGCAAACCCTCTTAACTGTGCTATGCACCGATAGAATATAGGCGAAACACACTTGGCTCGGCTTTTGGTGAGTACATTTGCTGCTAATATGGTAGCCTCTGACGCTACTATCGGCTATTTGGCGTGCACATTTTGCTACTCTGACAAGGTTGAAGGCCTATAGAAGAAAAGAAAAGTCTGCGCCTGTCTGGACATTCCTCATAAGATGTGCACATGAGTCCGCCGACTAGGTTTGTTGTCCTTCGTTGTATGTTCTCCAAAGGAGTGTAGCCTTGATTCATTCAAGGACACCACGCCTGAATGAAATGTTTTATCATCGGCCAGATAAGTGTTCCAAACATAAGACCAAAAAGCCCTTCGCCAAAGTGAATGCGAAATCTCCTGATCGTTCTCAGGATTTCAGTAGCTTTATTTACTATCTTGGCGCAGTGAGACAAAGGTTTGAGAGTGGACGTCATCCACACATTTAGATTGAGTTGTTAACCTCGAATGACATGCTGACATTCAAATATCATGACTTTTATGCAACTAGACCTTAGTCGGATGGCTTGGTATTTGTTGAAATTGAGGTTGAGGGCCCATTCATTCCACCACTGTTGCAACTGATCCAAGTTTATTTGCAAGTTCAGCGCATCCTCTGACTTTTCTACCAAATTCCATATGTGCATATTATCGGCGAACATTACCTTCTCGCAGGTCAGGTAATCAAGGCAGTCGTTCACATATATTGAGAACCGAATTTTACCCAAAGCGCTCCCCTACGGAACCCCACTGTAACCGATCTTCCACTCCGATTTGGTGTCAACAATACAAACACTTTGCCGACTGCCTGTGGGAAAATCGATCAACCACTTGGGTAGATTGCCAGTCGCACTAATTTGGCGCAGTTTGGATATTAGCCGTCTGTGTGGGCCCCTGTCAAAAGCTTTGGTGAAATCAATGTACGCAGCATCTACTAACAAGTCCATTCCTAAGGATTTTGTCAAGGATGTGAACAAACTATTGAGACAGAATCGACCGCTTAGAAAGCTATGTTGGTGCTCACTAAGTAAGTCGCTTTTCTCAATATTTCTCCTCAGTCCATTTTTTTCTCGCCGTTGGTTAACAACGAATGCTTGTGAAATTCACTGGGTGAAGCTCTTTGGCGAGGCTCACCCCTCCCCCTTATACATGGAGCTCAAGCTGGCTAGGTCTCACTCAGCAGGCCGAGCCTTCGTCTCTTTTAAACATCCGATGGTCCTAGAGAGCAGAGAGACCAGATGGTCTGTGAGTCCATTCGAAACTTTTGGGGATATGCCATCCGGAACAGGTGAGTTGGTGGGTTGCAGCTGTCCCAGAGTCTTCAATACTGCGTTCGCTGTGAACGTCCCCGTATTAAGTGGATTTCTAGTTGGGATAATCTACCATCGTACTTTCTTACCAAGAGGCGGCTCCTCGGCATACATGGACATGAAGGAATGGGATAAAAGATTAGTCTTACCCAGTTTGTCGGTTAGCTTAAGGCATACGCATTGCTTCGAATTAGAATTCGCGTCAATTTCATGGCCGAAACATCCCTTCTCACTCTTCATGGTTAGATCTATTTGTCAGAACATTCGTCTCTTACATAAAGTCGTCAGACATCAATGCCTGGAACACCAGCATACGACAGACGTACTAGCTTCAACTGCCCGCATTGCACTTGCATATTCAGCCACTGCATGTGCGCTTTCGATTACTTACGCATTCATGGAGACCTGCGGCAAATCACCTTAAACACGACCCCATAACCACGCATTCTCTCAAAAAACGTACATTGTGCGCACAGCCTTCAAATTTTCACAACACTGCCAACTTCGACGATAGAGGGAAGTGTCCTTCTCGGTCATTTCTCCATGTGGTTCATCTGCCGCATGTGGGATCCGAGCATGAGACTATCGCGTTACGCCAAGTGTCGTGACCTGGAAGTTTGCTAACTGACGCTCCAATTTGGTCCTCGCAGTCACCCCAGTTGTGTGCTTAGAGACTGACTGGTGGAACGAGAGTCAGGCGTCAACCGCTCCTTTTTAGTACGGTCTGTGTAACACTCCAACTCCGTGGGATCCGAGCCGGACGTGGCGGCACGCTAAGGGACAATTCCTGCCGCGTCAGTCGTCGCTCGAATTTTTGTTGGCCAAATTATTGATTAAATGTTTATTGCGGACCAAAAGGGGATGTGGTAGTGCGCCTAGGTGTAAGCTATCTTTCTGCCTCCAGCGGTCTCTCCAGGCTCCGGTCTTCTTGACTTCGCCACGACACCCGACTCAAGTGTGGGGGAGAGGTTCAGCAGATGCTTTGAAAGTTCGTTTTCGCTATAATACAGTTCACGCGCAAGTCACTGTGCCTGCTCTCACTCTGCCTCGGAGCGCATAGCGGATATCGCCGGTCCCGACGGCCGAAATGTCATCGGTTAACTTGTCTCCTTGTCTTTGGATAAAAAATGGGGTTCCGATTGCGTTTGGATTCATTCACGTGTTCAAAGGACGTCTTCGGATTTATTGGTATTCTTTTGGTTTTCTTGACTCAAATGCTCGCGTTTTCTCCTTATGCGATTCCGATGCTTATTTTGCTGTTTCTTAAATTCACAGAAATATTGGGAGTTTTGACATCTGGCGCATTCCCTAACAGCAATCCTTTTATCTTGACGTTTCTTTCTATTCCAGATGTCAACTAATAGCATCGACAGACGCCAGATTTCCTTTTAAGTGTGCAATACTTGCCTACCAAGTACCGAGCAAAGTTCTTACAGAAAATGGAGGCGGAGTTTGGGACAGATGTATGTGTAGGGTTCCAGTTTGTATCACTCAGCTGTTCTTTTGTCTTGAAATATTCCACTTTCCATACAGTTCACTCCTTTGGTGTTAAAATTTCCGGTACAGAAAAACGACTATGCTCCTAAATAAGAACGCAACGATCGCTTCGGCGCAGTAGCGTGCTGGAAGTTAATCTAAGGATCGAATGCTAAAACGAATCGGTCACCCATAGACTAGGGTTCAGCAGAGTTCAAAGCGAAGAAACGGTCAGTAGGAGATTGGGCATTCTGCAATAAGGAGGATATTGCTGGTTCAAATTAAGGCTTTAATGCGAACAGGCTGTAGTAGCGTCCAGCAGACCGGAATATCAGAGAAACTAAATCTGGAATGTGCTGCTGGGGTTAAGTTGATGCAAATTGTACTCAAAAACACATCTGAGAACCGGCGGTAGATAGGCGGATATTGTAGGTTCTTATATGCGTCGTGGAGGATGGCAAAGAGCTCATCCTCATCTAAAGACAAATTTAAAATTGTACAAAACACATGCGCTGTTACCTAAACAGATTTTTTTTATCATAGCTCAAATTTTATTTGCTATCCCGCCACCATACCTTGCTTGAGACATCAAGGTTCTAAAAAGTGACAGTGTTAGACAATAAAGTTTGTCCGCTGACTATTGAATCTCTCATGTGCTGATCACCTCAAACTGGTCAAAGCCTCTCACTATGGATTTGAGAGGGGTGCTTGAGATTAACCTAGCTGCTTATTTAAGGTGTGTTGCGTTTCCGTATCAGTTGAGAAGGGAACACTGTCATTTCGCAGTCCATGGGCATGAGCGGCATCCCATTGTTCTAAAATCTAGATCACTGGTACCTTCGAGTTCATAAAGTCCGCGTTTGAATGGACTGCTAAAAAAAGAGAGGAATTTTCAAATAGTTTCGTTTTTTTGCTGTGTTCGGGCTCCGTCAACTAGGAAGTCACCTGCATATTTAACAGTTTTGGAAACAGGTTGATAATGCAGGCGATCAAATGTGTCGTCGTTGGGGATGGTGCGGTGGGAAAAACATGCCTCCTGATAAGTTATACGTCAAACGCGTTCCCCGGAGAATACATACCAACTGTTTTTGACAACTACTCCGCAAATGTGATGGTTGACGGGAAGCCCGTAAATCTCGGACTTTGGGATACTGCCGGTACGTGTTAATTTTCTGTTCGACCAAAAGTGCAGTATCATTAGCCCCCTCTAACTGAGCGTCTTTGTTGGAATGGGAGTAGGCCTCAGTACTTGACCAGATGCTTTCTTACTGTAGTTCCTGCTCCCAGAGAGGGATTTTTGTGCCAAAACTTTTTTTAAATAGTGCCTTATAGGTGCTTGCCAATTAGGAGCGTCGGCATTTTGCCATTATGCTGTCCTCTTCCCTATAAAGATGCGATCGTGGGCAGCTGCACCCTTTAAGGTGGTTAGTGTTCACGAAGTGTGTCTTTCGCCACGAATACATGAGGGACATTTATGTCATGGGCTTCCAACAGAGTGCCTCCAGTTAGGTTCTCATAAATGTCCCTCGGACAAGTTTGGATGAGCACTAGTCCATCGATTTGAAGGAAGTCACCCAAAATCGGCCACTGTTTCGGTCTTTTACTCTCCTGTTGGTACCTCACTTTTTTACTAGCCTGGTCTCTTCGTGTACCCGCTCACCCTTTTGCGAACTGGTTTGCATATCATTAAAATAAATACCTCATCTACCGTTGCACTGCTAGCTGACGAGATAAGTGTGACTTCGACTGTCTTGTTGAACCATCGGCTGGATCGCACCTGCGAAGTGAGTGTGCGTGTTCGTGTTTTTGATCGCAAATAGCGGTCAGGGTTATGCTTGACTAAATTAGGATCGAACAGATCGGGGACGTAGAACGTTTGTGCCTACCTGTGCCTGTGCGCAGTCCAACTGCACATCAACTTTCGTTCACTTTTTTCCACTAATCTACTGTTTGGTCTCACGAAAGTTGTCTTGCAAGTTTATCGTTAAACCCAACGTATGCAAGAGCCAGAGGGGCATTAGCTATCCCTCAAAATCCTTTATTTTAATCATACGAGCGCTTGTTTACGCCTGTGCTTATCAAAAGGACAACGTACGAATGACCCTAATTGGCACCTATTCAAGAAGACCTGCAGCTGGCAAGGGAATGGTGATCAGAGTCAGAGAGGGTCACGCAGTTTGTCAGCCCGTCACCTGCGATAGTAAAAGGATGAACTGATTGTGCGACCACCTAAACAGTTTCTTTGTGGAAGGCATCAGCTCTTTGGACTGGGTCAGTTTTCAAGACAGTACCGTTTGTAACCGTAACGGCTTATCGACATGTGGCCTGTTCGGAAAGTCGACGGGTTTTCAATCCGACGCTAAAGCGCCTTTAGGACAAATTCAGTTCATATGTCAGCTACTACTGCTACTACTGCTAATTTGCGGACTTTCATAGTGTCACGAGATCGTTCTAGTGATGCTTATGTCGCAAATTCAGAATCCCTGATTTCAGTCCTTTAAGATGCCATTAATTCGCAAATTTTCTATAGTCCTAGAAATCATCCGCACGTCGTCGTCGTCGTCAGTAGGCTAGTTTAAGTGTCATGCCACCGCCTAGAATTTCGGGTGGCTACGCCTTCTGGGCAAAACCTGTCTTCGCATACGCCAGTTATCACTGCCATGCCCTTGTGTCACCGAACAAAAAGGCCTATTGTTCACGCAAATGCCCGGAAATTCGAAGTCAGATATTAAGGCATCAGTATCCTAGGTTTTGCCATATATGGCTAGTGTAACACTGAAATCTCAGCGGTATACTCAGTGGCACTCACGCCTGATTCAGCCAGGCCGTTCTGACGGTTTACAGCATAATGAGGGATCATCCTATATCACGGTTGGAAGATGACAGATTACCAACAGAATTTGAGCCGATCGGCACGTCATCACCTCAAGCCAAAAACTATAGGGCCAGAGGTACACCCAAGCCAGCTGTAAGCACTCCCACCCGTCTTTAGTTAGTCACTTCGACGCCATCTCCAGCCAGGTAATGTGGCCCTACCTAGGCAGGTCACGCCAGTTTGACCTTCGCAAACGACGGCGTCCGTGCGCCCCGCAGCCACGTGGACGCAGGCCGGTGGCTTCGTATTAGTTTATAATTATGGCAGACTTAGGCGGCCTCTGTCACACTCATCACCCTCACCCCCCTGGTCAATGTCAAGACCGAGCCAGGACCACCGGGGTAGGGATCGGGCGCAGTGACTAACAGCTAAACAGCTTAGTAGTAGCAGCTGACGGAGGACGCAAGTGGGAGGCCTCTATTCTGTACACGTCCACAGGGTGTTGACCTAGATATCAGCGCCAGCCGGCCTCATTGTGGCGCACTGTTTTGTATAAAGGGCGCGCACGAGTGTGCGGCCGCTACGTGTATGGGAATTAGCCGAAAGTAGACTTGCACATCCTATGCTCATGAAACCGACATAAAACGAACTACTTCGAGCAGTTTTTTATTTCAGTAAGAGCCACTTTCACTAATCAAACCCAAAGAAAACAATGGAATCAGAGTTGCCATCACCAGATCTAAGGTGAATTTAAACGGGAACTGCGAGAAAGGTTCCACGGGATAACAAACTTTCATCGTAGCCCTACAGGAACAGGTTTTTTCGCTGTACAATAAATATTAAGTCTAGAAACGGTGGCTCCTTTCACTGTCAGATAGATAGAGTAGCGATGGATCAACCCTTTGGACACTTCACTGGAAAACTAGAGGATGACCAGGCTGGCCTCTGCCTTAGCAAAAGGCAGAATTCCCGAATAATTTTGAACCCGCTCTGCCGTTACACTTGGATTCAGGGTTTCCAAACTACAAGCCGTATATTTTCCGCTTATGAAAAATCACACATTTCTCCACGGTGATAAAGGGGGACCATATAGGGTTCATAAAATGTAGCAGTGAATTTGACCCATACTGTTAACATTACAAGCCACACTGGTAAATGCAGAGACATGACGATTTATAAACGGCCATTTCACGGTATTAAAAAATCGAACAATATGAAACTTTTTTTAAAAATTGAATTATGTCCCCCTTGAGTAAAAAAATCAGAAGAAGACGTAATTTTCTACCGAATGAGCAGAAGAATGAATACTTTTATGCATGTTTTCCATGAAATACAATTGGACCTTTAGGGGCATCGAAAATCAATGAGAAAAATGCATGCCGCTTAAGTAGCCATTCTTTAGAGAGTGTAGTTTTTGCATGTAGCTGGAAGGAAGTTCATTCGTAAGCCGGTATTCTGAGGTAACCGAAATATTATACAATTAGGTTGCAGACTGAATAGTCATGCAACCCTATTAAATTAATCTTTTCAAGATGAAAACGCATTTCGGAATTTCGGTTGACATTTCATAAGTTAACCCACCAACTGTACGTAGAAAATATGATTAATTTTTGATGACAATTTCGCACCGAGGTTTGACCAGCATGAGTGGGGATAATGGCGTCCCAGAGAGAGGCCGCAGGTGGATGGCTCGAACGGATCCTCACCTTGGCGTTCCACCACACCCCCTGGTCCACACAACAAATAACCAGGATTTCAACCAACACACACTGACTGGACACCACTTGAGCTTGACCCACGAGCCTACAAAAGCGGCTCATCGTATCAGGGACTCTCAGGCCTGACTGGACGCAGTAAACACCAGCACTGGCTTCGCCAGTGGCCACTACCGCCTGAGAGGACAACTCTGGGTTTTGTATACATTAAAGCCCACATTCCGATTCCTTCTGTCTTTTCACCACAACTTAGGATCTGGCCAGACGATAGTAGTGTTCTGAGTACAGACATACTCACTGACACCGCTTGGTCATAACAAGGTAAGGGTAGGGTATGTGACCTCCCCCTGTGTGGTTGGTGTGCTTCATAACGGTTTGCCTGACAGTAGGCCGCGAAGAGAGAATTGATTTTGGCCTCCAATAGCGGTGTCGATATTAAGGTTGCCCGTTTTGGCCTCGAGATTAGGGTTTGGACAACGGTTAAAATTAACGTTAGTTGAGTTATTCTTAGAGATAGGGTGTTGGGGCTTAGGCTATGGTTTGAATTTGGGATGGAGGCTAGGGTCAGGGTCTTAGGGCTTGGCGTATGGCTACGGTTACGTCCGACTTTCCATTAAGTGCGTCCGGGTTAGAGATTTCCCACTGAGAGCATGACCATGGTTGGTGTTAGGTTTATAGCTAACTACGGTCCTCCCAAGGGGGTTACACACCATACCTTTGCCCTTGAAGGCACGGTTGGGTGGCATCGAAAGAGCCGCGTACTGAAAGTCGGCGTCATTCCTCCACAGTGTCGCTGTATGTTCGGTCATCTGTGTCGGATATAATCTATCGGCTTCTCCAATCTAACCGCTTTATAAATAAATCACAGAATGTCAAATTCCTGATCAAAGTAGGACGCGATTTGCCGAAGTAAAGATCTTTACCGAAAATCCTGCTTTACTGAAACTACGAGTGGACACAAGTTAGATACTCATCGGGCGAGTTGTTAACAAATTCGCTGCGGTTAGTGCCAGAGTCTATGGCTTGAAATGGGCAAAAACACCCACGCCTGTTTCCTCATTTACCTTCATAGAGCAAAAATCAAGACGCTCAACCTAGAGAACACCTTCTCCAAGATTTAATTCCGGCAATAGCCCCCTCATTAACGCTAAGCTGCAAGTGCGTAGGCGTAATTGATTTAAACGTCCTTACGTTTGCAGACTGCATGGAGCTGTAGAAAGATGTTCACAGTCATGCTGACGAAGATGACATGCAGTAAGGCCTAGGTAAACTTGAGGAGTGACCTTGCCACTGATTGTTGCACTCTATCGGTGACGGGTGTATCTTGCTAACATTATGGTGTGCGTGTTAAGTGCCTTATCAGGTGTATTCTACGCCATGTAGAAGTAGAACAAGGCCTTGAATTCTAATGCGGTTAATTTAGCGGTTCCATACTTGGAAGTGGGGGGCGGACAACTTCGTAGACAATCAGTGGTCGGCTTGACTGCCGATGGAGTCTGTAACTGATTGCCGGACTCCGATTGGTTCTCTCACATTCGGCCTCCACCCTCTCTCTCTCTGTGTCATGCGTGTGCCACCGTCGTCAAACTGGTAACGTTCTCAAGGCTATGCCCCGCGTCCTTCGGCCTCAATGTCAGCCCGTACTGGCGCATTCATGTCATCGATCGTTTTTTTTCAGTCATGCTGCATTCATCCGCCCAGTAGCTGCCCTGAGTTTTGTGGGCGGTGAGTTATTGTTGAGATTTTCACAGACGACAGTCACAAGCTTGGACAGGCGGCTGATACTTTCATCTGACCCACATCCGTAAGATGTTCTGAGCAGGCGGTCATTAATTGTAAAAACGATAAGGTGTAACAGGATGCAGATTTCCGACTTCGCTTTCTGTTCGCTCTCAAGGCTCATATGTTTCCTAGGCGCAGGACAGAGTCTGGGCGCGGCCGTGTTTTTTATGTCGGAATAGGGACGTTCCACAATACTCTATGCCTTTTAACCTTCGCGTTTTTAATCTGCTTATTAGGTACCGGTACCTTCGGGCATTCTACTCTTCCAAATCGTCCTCGAAAACTATAATTACACCTCGAGATATGAAGGAAATTCGTCATCCGCGTAGCGTATCGACAACTCGGGCCTGCGTGAGGCGAGAACAAGCGTTTCAATCTCCTATAGCCCAGCTGCGGTTATAAAATCATAAACCATCAGACGCAGCGAAATTTCTTGACTATGGCCTTTTCCAATTATACAAAAATCAGATAATTCCTGCAAATTGTTTCTGCAAGCGTCGATCTACTGCATCATACGCTTTTGTTAGTATGGCGCCATCAAGAAATTGAGCTGCGGTTGGAACCGTTTGTTCTCTATCCTCTGTTAACTTCTTCAGACGTCCCGAGGATCACGTAGTTAGTCCAAACAAAGGCGTACCATTGAGGGCACTGATCAGTTGAAATAACAGGATCAGCCTGTCTGTAGCTCTTGGTCATTACATTGAAACATGTCAGTACAGTATCTAGTGATTTCATTTGTAATCACCATCCAAAGATGTTGTAATGGGCCCACTAAATCATTTGCCGCGTTGGCTCACTGTCGACATACGAAGTTGTCCAAGAACAACTGGACATACAGTAATGGTCAGTCAGAAGATCGCTAACCGAAGTCATCGGAGGACAAACATGAAGGCTTTTGCAATACATGTGTTCTGGTCTTCACTCCTCTCCAATGATGTGCTCAAGTACATGCGTAAAAGGTGCAATAAAAACAGGTCCCTTTCTAATGATCGAATCTTCATTTACCGGAGTTGCATGTGAAGTTCAGGCACCAGTCAGCAATTTTGTGTCGCTGACTGGCTGGCGGTGAAAAAAAAACAGAAAAATTTAGGTAGGTCTTAATTCTCGCTTAACAGACGTATACATACATAGCAAAAGATCTGTCGCTAAAGTCTAGGCCGCGAGTGTGACCCTGGCTACCACAACCATCAGATCCGGTCCCGAATGAAAAGGGAAGATGCACACCAGTTGGGGAGATTGTTTATTCCACATGGAATAACCGAAGAAGGGGTTGAAGAGAGTAGCGGCCGGACAAGGGCACGACCGACGCCGGGAGACCGGCGTCCCAAGTATCCCTCAGGGAATGCATCGAAACGTCTTAAGACAGGGCACATCTGACTCGGCTTTTGAATCTGATTGGCCAGTTGGGAGGCTGAATGGGCAAATGCCAGACAGTCCTGGTGCGCACGTGCGGACACTCGCGAGAGGCCCAACGTTGAGACAGGCGCTCAGTGTAGGGCCACTACAGATCTGTTTATTGCACTGGTTAAGGAACGCGCTCACCACTTAGATCTCTCGTAGACGGGCTGACTGGGGATATTATAGGAGCTTATTCATTTCTGACGGGAACTTTGGGGTACTCATAGCTCTTTGGTCTACATATTTTTAGCTCTTGGTTGCGATGATGCGGCTAATAAATATTTTTGATGGCGATAAATAAATAAATAAATTTTAATTTAATGCCAGTTTACAGGCATTGTCAAGGGAAGCGATTAAACACAAATCCGACCAGCAGTGAAAAAAAAAACTCCTGAGCTTAAGGCATAAAAATATAGTTGATGGTGGTTTTTGTGGTTTGGAGGGCTCAGGAGAAAAAAAAAACTGTCGGCGGTGGTAGAATATCGACCGTCAAGAAGGGGGGAGGTTGCACGGTATCGGAGATTATCGGAGGTCAAAGTCCTTTCATGAAGTTGGGGATAGTCAAAGTAGAGGCGTTGAGGAACAGCTGGTGAGACCGGCCATAGTGTTCAGAGACCACAAACGCCATCGCTACGGTACAGTCGATCAGTAGATTCAGCACCCAAAATTTGTGGGAGCTTTTCTGAATGCAAAAATCGAGTAATAGTTCTCTTAAATAATGGATAATTTTGCAGAGTTTTCACACTCATAGGTAGTTTATTCCAAATGGCAATTGCATTTACAGAAAAGAACCGACGATATTTAACACTACGTGCCAGAGGCAGAAATAAGAAGACCTCACGGTGACTGTTACGTCGTGGGTAGATATGATGTCTTAAAGAGGTGAGCGGGTTAAATGTGTGATTATATAAGAGTTTAAATAGCAAAAATAGTCCCTTTTGTAATCTACGGAACTATAAAGGATCGAGGCCTGTAAGCCGGCAACGTTCTTTGTAAGACAAATGTCGGTGTTCCGGGGCTAAAATTCTCTTAGTAAAAAAGTGTTGAACGGATTCTATTTTCTTCCGCTCAGTAGCACGCATGAGGCTAAATGAAAACGAACAGTATTCCAGACCAGGTCTAACGTACATGTTGAAAAGGCGCATTCTAATGTCCCTAGTTTTAAATTTCGGAGGATAAACCCGGTCGTTCCACGTGCTTTGGAGACTATCAAGGCACAGTGCTCCGAGAGATTGAGACTTTTGGAGTATGATACGCCCAAATCCTTTATGACCCCTGGCACATTTATTGCGTGACCTTCAATACTTAGTTGAGGTTGGCGGTCGTCGCCAACCACCATGACTGAGCACTTATGCCAAGAAAGAGAAAGGCGCCATGTGCGGCACCACTGGGCGAAAGCCTGTAGATCGCTCTTTAGGAGCCCAAGCACGATGTCATGATCTGCCGACTTATATCGATATGCAACTTTAAGATCATCGGCATACATTAAAGGCTTACCATTCTGAAATAAATCGGGTACATCATTAACTAACGAGCAGACATACTAGCTAGCAGACTAACGCGGCTTCCTTATGGACTTGCAGGCAATAATATAGACGTGTTAGAGTTCGCATATATTGCTTCGTCGACATTTTTGCTGCTTGTTGACCGTGTAGGAGCATCATAGTTATAATCATATTACTATCTAATGATATCACTTGACTGATTCCGATGTATGTGCCATCCTTCCGTTCTGGTGGGGTGTTGGTGTCTTGCGGTTCTCGTCCTTTTAGTTTCTAAGCCTTATCACTAACTTCCTTAAGAGTCATACTTTTTTCTAAGTGCCAGAATCAGAAGTACTTGCCAGATGTTTACCTGAGGGGCGGTCTGTTGATTCTTTTATTTAATATGGGTCACACGCTCGCCAGTATTAATGTTAGAATTAGCAGTACTTGCCAGGAGAGTGCTTACTGATGATCGCCCTTAAACCCGGTGTATTTGCTCTGAAGTGTACGTATTTGCATACGTGTGAAGTCTGGACATACGAATGAGTTTAGTTTCAGATTTATGAGTCCCAGAAGCATCTCTTAAAAACAGCAAGAAAAACGAACTTACTACGGCATCTTTAAGAAAACAACCTGCCTAGTAAGTATCGGCATGGATCTGGTAGGGACCGATCCTGTCTTATTAATTAGCTCTTATCCTTGGAGATCTGGACGAGAAAAATCGCAGTTAATTTATCAGTAAACGCAGGGTAAAGTTACTTCAGAAAGGCTTTCGACAGTGTTCCACACAATGGGCCTCCCAGCCTTCCTCGTGTGCTTCCTAGTGGATACTCCAGTTTACAGATTTTTGCTTCTTAATTTCATCAGAAATTAACTGCGAACATGGAGTAGGTCGATTTAAGTCAGTTTATTAAGGGAATGAGGCTTTCGCCCTTCAGCTGAAACCGCTGCCACAAACACAAACGTGATTATGTGCACAGTAGTTTCTCAGAAAATGAGCGCCTTATCTTAACTTAAAGGACTCAATAGTGAGTATATACTAGGGTCTATAGACGCTGATTAAAACTTAAAACATGCATATTTAGGCCGAAATCCATCAACCGTGTGGACTGCGCCCATTTACCTTTCTATAAGCTGATCTTCTCCAAGTTAGCAATTAGTTTCTGAGGACATTAAAAAACCACGATTTATGGACTGACGTAGCTATTAAAAAGCAGACGGGGAGTGCTGGGGGACCCACTGAAAATTCAAACCCTCTCAGATCTTATAGAAGCGAACAGGCGAGTCCCAGGTAGCAGTACAGAAGATGAAGATGCGATAACTGGGACAAGAAGTTTATTTGCCTGACGTTTCGGATTCTCACTCGAATCCATCCTCAGAGACATTAGCAGATAGAGGTGAAGGTGGCACCAGGAGTGCAGTATTTGTGGCACGTGGCTGCCGTGGGACCGTATGCGCACTGCAATTAACAGTTCTCACAATCGCCGCTGGGGTCGTAATTGATGCGGCGGTGGCTTGGCGGTCCGAGTCCGAGTTGTTAATTGCCGCGATTTCGTCATCCGTGCTCGATGCTGGTGTGACGATTGCTCGGCAAACTGGCTCACTGTCACCGTGATAATTGCTCACCCGCGCCCTCCCCACGTGACTGATTCTCCTGCCCAGGGAAAATCGCAATACGGAATAGGGCACCGGGAGGTCATTGTGTTTGTTGATGGATTGCGGGCCTGAGAACCATGACTCGAGCAGCTCGCGGCTCACGCGGATGTCACCCCTTGCGAGGATTTCGGCCTCTTGAAATTTGAAATTTGGCCGGGTCCCGTCGAGTGTGCCGCCACCTGAGAGTTAGCGTCTCCCCGCCTCACTGCTGCTGCGTGCTCGGCAAGTCGCGTACGGAGTAATCTCCCAGTTTCTCCGACATAATTGCTTTGTCCGCAACTACACCAGATCCGGTAAACGACTCCAGACGTTTCCTGCCGTGGCAGCGGGTCTTTTGGCCTCATTACTTGGCGCCTAATGGTTGCTTCCGGACTGTGTGCAATCCCAACTCCAAGTGGAGTGAGAAGACGACTGACGGCTTCCGAGACGTTATTCACGTATGGAAGAGCCCGCCAAAATTTGGGGCTAGTTGGATTTGGTCTCTGGTGTCCTTTTCGAATGCACTGGTTGACAAAATTGCGCGGGTAGCCATTGGCTCTCATTACCCGTCGAAGATATTGTAATTCAGCAACCTTGTCTTCCATTTCACTGCAGTGCGTCTCAACACGCCGGTATAGCGCCCTTACGCAACTGCGTTTGTGACTGATCGGGTGGTTGCTATTGAAGTTTAGTATTTGCGTCGTATTTGTCGCTTTCCTGAACACTTTGGTTTTTAGGCCACCACAATCTTTGCGGCAGACGAGGACATCAAGGAAGGCCAGCTGATTGTTTTCCTCCTCCTCCATCGTAAATTGAATGTCCGGGAAGACGGCGTTGATTTGTTCTTTGAAAGTCAGCACCTGATCCCGTTCGAAGACGACGAAGGTGTCATCTACATACCGAGCCCAGAATTTCGGTCTGTGTTGTCGGAAAACCAGCAATTCCAGACGTTGAAGGACCTCCTCGGCGATGAGTCCCGAAATCGGCGAACCCATTGGCGTTCCCTTCACCTGCTCGTAGATTGTCCGTCTTCCCGGACATTCAATTTACGATGGAGGAGGAGGAAAACAATCAGCTGGCCTTCCTTGATGTCCTCGTCTGCCGCAAAGATTGTGGTGGCCTAAAAACCAAAGTGTTCAGGAAAGCGACTATTCTCCAGCGGAACGTCTGAAACGCCGCGAATTGGTAACGGAGTTGAAGAGGAGACTTGCAGCGGGAGAGAGCGACTTGGCCATTTTCAGGGGACGAGTAATACAGAGGAACGCGATGTTGTTTTGGAACCAGCCAGTCATCATGATGGCGGCAGCAACATAATATTGGCAAACCCGAGACAAACCGAACGAAGCACTGTCGAATGTTGCAAACTAAAATTCTTTTACACCAATGCTCAGAGTCTGTTTTCCAAGCTTGACGAACTGAGAATACAGGTAGCCGATACTCTTCCCGATGTTATAGCAATAACAGAAACGTGGCTGTCAGAGGACGTTGGCGATTGCGAGGTAGCATTAACAGGATACCATTTGTTTAGGAGAGACAGGAGAGGCCGCCGGGGTGGAGGAGTTGCCATGTATGTCAAGAGCAACTTAACAGTGTGTGAGATGACCGACAAGATTTCTAACGACACAGAGGCAATTTGGCTGACTATAAAGGCGCGGGGATCTCAGTCCCTCGAAGTCTTAACTATCTACCGGCCCCCGCAGGCGGATCCCGACCCAGATACTTGTCTACTGAAAAGCATAAAAGAGATCGCCAGCCGACCCGACGTTGTTATCGTGGGGGATTTTAATGCACCATGCATTCAATGGAGCGATATGCATGCGAAATGCTCGATGAATACCTTCGATTACCATCTACTAAAGACAACTCTAGAAGCTCTACTCACGCAATATGTCCTGTTTCCCACTAGAGCTCGTGGAGGGCAACAGGCCAGTTGTCTGGACCTCGTTTTTACCGAAGATCCTGACAGTATAGATGAGGTGTACTACCTACCCCCGCTCGGTCGAAGTGATCATGCAGTGCTTTTATGCGAGTACTTGCTGTATTCTGAACCGTGTACAAAAGACAATACGAGGCCAAATATATGGAAAGGGGACTTTCGCCAAATGAGAGCTGAGGCATCACAAATAGACTGGGATGTTCTCTTCTCCGGAGACGTTAACGAGGACTGGAATTTATTCAAGGATCGTTTACTGCATCTAATGAAGAACCACTGTCCCTTATCAAAGCCTAGGATATCCAACCGCCCTCAGTGGCTTACACGAGAACTCAAAAGGGAGATAAACAAGAAAGGTAGATGTTGTGGAAAAAATTTCGCGAGAACAACAATAATGCAGCGTTTACAGAATACAAAATTCAAAGAAATAAGGTGAAAAGTCTGATTTTCAGGAGGCGACGGGATTTTGAGAGTAATTTGCTCCACCAAGCCGTTAAAAATCCGAAATTGCTCTACAGCTATTTGCGGAAAAGCACACGTAACAGGAATCCCATTCCTGTTATGAGGGGTAATGACGGCTTGGAGATCTCGGACAGTAAAAATAAGGCTGAGCACTTTTCTCAATTTTTCCGATCCGTTTTCACAAGAGAAGCGGACTTTACCCCATCTAATTCTGAGAACATGAGAGATCCCACTATCGAAAATATTGTGTTTCGAGAAGAAGCGATTTTTGAAGAACTGAAAAACTTGAAGGAATGTAAATCTCCCGGTCCGGACGAGATTCCAGCAAAGCTGCTCTTTGAGCTTGCCCAACAGCTGGCCAAGCCACTATCCTTTCTGTGCCAAAAATCGTTTGATGCTGGAATTCTTCCCACAGACTGGAAGACCGCCTACATTACACCCCTTTACAAAAGCGGTAGTCGTGCTCTGGCGACAAACTACAGACCCGTCAGTCTGACATCAATCTGCTGCAAAGTGATGGAGAAAACCATCAAAAAGGAGTTGATGGATTACTTGGAAACCCACAACCTTTTGTCCAATACACAATATGGTTCCCGTAGGGGGAGATCATGTGTTACGAACTTGCTATACACATTGCAAAGTTGGACACGAGCACTGGACGCAAAACACACCGTGTATGTTGCCTATATTGATTTTCGGAAGGCGTTCGACAGTGTTCCGCACCAGCGTCTCCTACACAAGTTGAGAATTATGGGCATCGGTGGCAAACTTCTCAAATGGATCGAAAATTTCCTTGTCGGCCGCTCCCAAATTGCCTGCGTAGAACAACAGCAATCAAGGTGCACATTCATAGAGAGTGGGGTCCCACAAGGCTCGGTGCTCGGACCAACTCTCTTTCTCTTGTTCATCAATGATTGCGTAGATGGGTTGGACTGTGATTGTGCCATGTTTGCGGATGACATAAAAATCTGGAAAGTCATCCAGAGTGCTGCCGATGAGACCAACTTCCAAGAAAATCTTTGTCGGTTGGACGAGTGGTCCTGCAGATGGCTCTTGTCCTTCAATTTGAACAAATGCACCATTCTGCGCCTCGGAAATCAGACCCCTAGTACGCGGCAATACCATCTGAACGGAATGCCACTCCGAGAAGCAGAAACTCAGAAAGATCTCGGAGTTTGGGTTGCAGACAACCTAAAGCCTTCTACGCAATGCTGTAAGGCGGCCAAGTCCGCAACGTCAATGCTATATGCCATCAAGCGGGCATTCGTAGTTTTCGATGAAGACTGCTTCAACAAAGTCTTCGGCACGTTTATAAGGCCCCATCTCGAATATGCAATTCAGGCCTGGAGACCGTGGACGCACCAGGACTACGATCTGCTCGAAAGGGTGCAGAGGCGAGCCACAAAATTAGTAAGAGGTCAAAGTGCACTGCCATACGAGATCCGCTTAACTAACCTTAATCTCTCTCCTCTGAGTTATAGGCAGTTGCGCGGAGACATGTTACAAACTTTCCGTATCGTGCGCGGCTTGGATTGTGCCCTTCGGTGCGATGACTTTTTCCAACTCGCCACCACAACTCACCTCCGGGGACATCCCTTCAAGCTACGTGTGCCACAGGGTAGACTGAATGTGAGAAAATATTTCTTCTCCAACCGTGTCGTGGAACCGTGGAATAACCTGCCCGAGACGGTTGTTATGTCTCAATCTGTGGAGACATTTAAATGTCGCCTTGACAGATATATGCTGCAGCAACAAGCGGGCTATGCGACTTTTTAACCATGTGACTAGTGACATATGTGAATCAATGTATGCATTCACTTAATGTTGTAATTTCTTCACATTTTTGCTTGTTTATCGATTTTTTTATGTACAAATAGGGAGTTCAAAGGCGTAAGCCTATTTCCCTCAAATACACTGACTGACTGACTGAAATACGACGCAAATACTAAACTTCAATAGCAACCACCCGATCAGTCACAAACGCAGTTGCGTAAGGGCGCTATACCGGCGTGTTGAGACGCACTGCAGTGAAATGGAAGACAAGGTTGCTGAATTACAATATCTTCGACGGGTAATGAGAGCCAATGGCTACCCGCGCAATTTTGTCAACCAGTGCATTCGAAAAGGACACCAGAGACCAAATCCAACTAGCCCCAAATTTTGGCGGGCTCTTCCATACGTGAATAACGTCTCGGAAGCCGTCAGTCGTCTTCTCACTCCACTTGGAGTTGGGATTGCACACAGTCCGGAAGCAACCATTAGGCGCCAAGTAATGAGGCCAAAAGACCCGCTGCCACGGCAGGAAACGTCTGGAGTCGTTTACCGGATCTGGTGTAGTTGCGGACAAAGCAATTATGTCGGAGAAACTGGGAGATTACTCCGTACGCGACTTGCCGAGCACGCAGCAGCAGTGAGGCGGGGAGACGCTAACTCTCAGGTGGCGGCACACTCGACGGGACCCGGCCAAATTTCAAATTTCAAGAGGCCGAAATCCTCGCAAGGGGTGACATCCGCGTGAGCCGCGAGCTGCTCGAGTCATGGTTCTCAGGCCCGCAATCCATCAACAAACACAATGACCTCCCGGTGCCCTATTCCGTATTGCGATTTTCCCTGGGCAGGAGAATCAGTCACGTGGGGAGGGCGCGGGTGAGCAATTATCACGGTGACAGTGAGCCAGTTTGCCGAGCAATCGTCACACCAGCATCGAGCACGGATGACGAAATCGCGGCAATTAACAACTCGGACTCGGACCGCCAAGCCACCGCCGCATCAATTACGACCCCAGCGGCGATTGTGAGAACTGTTAATTGCAGTGCGCATACGGTCCCACGGCAGCCACGTGCCACAAATACTGCACTCCTGGTGCCACCTTCACCTCTATCTGCTAATGTCTCTGAGGATGGATTCGAGTGAGAATCCGAAACGTCAGGCAAATAAACTTCTTGTCCCAGTGATCGCATCTTCATCCTCCTTTCAGCTCTGCTATGCATCGATGGAATATAGGCGAAACACACTTTGCTCGGCCTTAAATGTGTACATTTGCTGCTAATACGGTAGCCTCTGACGCTACTATCGTTTATTTGACGTGCACATTTTGCTACTCTGACAACTTTGAAGGCCTATAAAAGAAAAGAAAAGTCTGTGCTCGTCTGGACATTCCTCATAAGATATGCACATCAGTCCGCCGACTAGGTTTGTTGTCTTTCGTTGTATGTTCTCCAAAGAAGTGTAGACTTGATTCATTCGATTACATACGCATTCATGGAGACCTGCGGCAAATCATCTCAAACACGACCCCATAACCCCGCATTCTCTCACCAAAACATACATTGTGCGCACAGCCTTTAAATTTTCACAAAGCTGCTAACTTTGACGAAAGAGAGAAGTGTCTTTCTCGGTAATTTCTCCATGTGGTTCATCTGCCGCATGTGTGATCCGTGCATGAGACTATCGCGTTACGCCAAATGTCGTGACCTGGAAGTTTGCTAACTGACGCTCCAATTCGGTCCTCGTAGTCAACCCAGTTGTGTGCTTAGAGATTGACTTGTGGAACGAGAGTCAGACGTCTACCGCTCCTTTTTAGTACGGTCTGTGTAACACTCCAACTCCGTGGGATCCGAGTCGGACGTGGCGGCACGCTAAGAGACAATTCCTGCCGCGTCAGTCGTCGCTCAAATTTTGTTGGCCAAAATATTGATTAAATGTTTATTGTGGACCAAAAGGGGGTGTGGTGGTGCGCCTAGGTGTAGGCTTTCTTTCTGCCGCCAGCGGTCTCTCCAGGCTCAGGTCTTCTTGACTTCGCCACAACACCCGACTCAAGTGTGGGAGAGAGGTTCAGCAGATGCTTTGAAAGTTCGTTTTGCTATAATACAGTCCACGCGCAAGTCACTGTGTCCGCTCTCACTCTGCTGTGGAGCGCACAGCGGATATCGCCGGTCCCGACGGCCGAAATGTCATCGGTTGACTTGTCTCCCTGGTTAGTCTTTAGATAAAAATGGGGTTCCGATTGCATTTGGATTTATTCACGTATTCAAAGGACGTATTCGGATTTATTGGTATTCTTTTGGTTTTCTTGACTCAAGTGCTCGCGTTCTCTCATTATGCGATTCCAATGCTTATTTTGCTGTTTCTTAAATTCAGAGAAATATTCGGAGTTTTGACATCTGGCGCATTCCCTCACAGTAATCCTTTTATCTTGATGTTTCTTTCTATTCAAGATGTCAGCTACTAGCATTGAAAAACGCCAGATTTCCTTTTAAGCGTGCAAGACTTGCCTACCAAGTACCGAGCAAAGTTCTTACAGAAAATGGAGGCGGAGTTTGGGTCAGATGTATGTGTAGGGTTCCAGTTTGTATCACTCAGCTGTTCTTTTGTCTTGAAATATTCCACTTTCCATACAGTTCACTCGTTTGGTGTTAAAATTTCCGGTACAGAAAAACGACTATGCTCCTAAATAAGAACTCAACGATCGCTTCGGCGCAGTAGCGTGCTGGAAGTTAATCTAAGGATCAAATGCTAAAACGAATCGGTTACCCATAGACTAGGGTTCTGCAGAGTTCAAAACGAAGAAAAGGTCAGCAAGAGATTGGGCATTCTGCAATAAGGAGGATACTGCTGGTTCAAATTTAGGCTTTAATGCGAGCAGGCTGCAGTAGCGTCCAGCAGATCGGAATATCAGAGAAACTAAGTCTGGAATGTGCTGCTGGGGTGAAGTTTATACAAAATGTACTCAAAAACACATCTGAGAACCGGTGGTGGATAGGCGGATATTGTAGGTTCTTAGCGTCGTAGAGGATGGCAAAGAGCTCATCCTCATCTAAAGACAAATTTGAAATTGTACAAAACACATGCGCTGTTACCTAAACAGATTTTTTTCATTATATCTCCCGCCACCATACCCTGATGGAGACATCAAGGTTTTAAAAAGTGGCAGTGTCAGACAATAAAGTTTGTCCGCTGACTATTGAATATCTCATGTGCAGATCACCTCAAACTGGTCAAAGCCTCTCACAATGGATTTGTGGGGGATGCTTGAGATTAACTTAGCTGCTTATTTCAGGTGTTTTGCGTTTCCTTATCAGTTGAGAAGGGAACACTGTCATTTCGCAATCCATGGGCACGTGCGGCATCCCATTGTTCTAAAATCTAGATCACTGGTACCTTCGAGTTCATGAAAACCGCGTTTGAATGGACTGCTAAACAAAGAGAGGGATTTTCAAATAGTTTCGTTTTTTTGCTGTGTTCGGGCTTCGTCAACTAGGAAGTCACCTGCATATTTAACAGTTTTGGAAACAGGTTGATAATGCAGGCGATCAAATGTGTCGTCGTTGGGGATGGTGCGGTGGGAAAAACATGCCTCCTGATAAGTTATACGTCAAACGCGTTCCCCGGAGAATACATACCAACTGTTTTTGACAATTACTCCGCAAATGTGATGGTTGACGGGAAGCCCGTAAATCTCGGACTTTGGGATACTGCCGGTACGTGTTAATTTTCTGTATGACCAAAAGTGCAGTATCATTAGTCCCCTCTAACTGAGCGTCTTATAGGAATGGGAGTAGGCCTCAGTACTTAACCAGGTGCTTTCTTACTGTAGTTCCTGCTCCCAAAGAGGGATTTTTGTGCCAAAACTTTTTTAAATAGTGTCTTATGGGTGCTTGCCAATTAGGAGCGCCGGCAATTTCCCATTATGCTGTCCTCTTCCCTATAAAGATGCGATCGTGGGCAGCTGCACCCTTTAAGGTAGTTAGTGCTCACGAAGTGTAACTTTCGCCACGAATCCATGAGGGACATTTATGTCATGGGCTCCCAACAGAGTGCCTCCGGTTAGGTTCTCATAAATGTCCCTCGGACAAGTTTACATGAACACTAGTCCATCGATTTGAAGGAAGTCACCCAAAATCGGCCACTGTTTCGGTCTTTTACTCTCCTGTTGGTGCCTCACTTTTTTACTAGCCTGGTCTCTTAATCGTGTACCCACTCACCCTATTGCGAACTGGTTTGCATATCATCAAAATAAATACCTTATCTACCGTTGCACTGCTAGCTGACGAGATAAGTGTGACTTCGACTGTCTTGTTGAACCATCGGCTGGATCGCACCTGCGAAGTGAGTGTGGGTGTTCGTGTTTTTGATCGCAAATAGCGGTCAGGATTATGCTTGACTAGATTAGGATCGAACAGATCGGGGACGTAGGACGTTTGCGCCTACCTGTGCCTGTGCGCAGTCCATCTGCACATCAACTTTAGTTCACTTTTTTCAACTAATCTACTGTTTGCTCCCACGAAAGTAGTCTTGCAAGTTTATCATTAAAGCCAACGTATGCAAGAACCAGGGGGGCATTAGCTACCCCTCAAAATCCTTTATTTTAATCATACGAGCGCTTGTTTACGTCTGCGTTTATCGAAAGGACAACGTACGAATGACCCTAATTGGCACCTATTCAAGAAGACCTGCAGCTGGCAAGGAATGGTGATCAGAGTCAGAGATGGTCATGCAGTTTGTCAGCCCGTCACCTGCGATAGTAAAGCAAAGAACTGATTGTGCGACCACCTAAACAGTTTCTTTGTGGAAGGCATCAGCTCTTTGGACTGGGTCAGTTTTCAAGACAGTACCGTTTGTAACCGTAACGGCTTATCGACATGTGGCCTGTTCGGAAAGTCGACGGGTTTTCAGTCCGACGCTAAAGCGCCTTTAGGACAAATTCAGTTCATATATCAGCTACTACAGCTAATTTGCGGACTTTCATGGTGTCACGAGATCGTTCTAGTGATGCTTATGTCGCAAATTCAGAATTCCTGATTTCGGTCCTTTAAGATGCCATTAATGCGCAAATTTTCTATAGTCCCAGAAATCATCCGCACGTCGTCGTCGGTAGGCTAGTTTAAGTGTTATGCCACCGCCTAGAATTTCGGGTGGCTACGCCTTTTGGGCAAAACCTGTCTTCGCATACGCCAGTTATTACTGCCATGCCCTTGTGTCACCGAACAAAAAGGCCTATTGTTCACGCAAATGCCCGGAAATTCGAAGTCAGATATTAAGGCATCAGTATCCTAGGTTTTGCCATATATGACTAGTGTAACACCGAAATCTGAGCGGTATGCTCAGTGGCACCCACGACTGATTCAGCCAGGCCGTTCTGACGGTTTACAGCCTAATGAGGGATCATCCTATATCACGGTTGGACGATGACAGATTACCAACAGAATTTGAGCCGATCGGCACGTCAACACCTCAAGCCGAAAACTATAGGGCCAGAGGTACACCCAAAGCCAGCTGTAAGCACTCCCGCCCGTCTTTAGTTAGTCACTTCGACGCCATCTCCAGCCAGGTAAAGTGGCCCTACCTAGGCAGGTCACGCCAGTTTGACCTTCGCAAACGACGGCGTCCATGCGCCCCGCAGCCACGTGGACGCAGGCCGGTGGCTTCGTATTAGTTTGTAATTATGGCAGACTTAGGCGGCCTCTGCCACACTCATCGCCCTCACCCCCCTGGGCAATGTCAAGACCGAGCCAGGACGACCGGGGTAGGGATCGGGCGCAGTGACTAACAGCTAAACAGCTTAGTAGTAGCAGCTGACGGAGGACGCAAGTGGGAGGCCTCTATTCTGTACACGTCCACAGGGTGTTGACCTAGATATCAGCGCCAGCCGGCCTCATTGTGGCGCACTGTCTTGTATAAAGGGCGCGCACGAGTGTGCGGCCGCTACGTGTATGGGAATTAGCCGAAAGTCCTTGCAAACTTGTTAAGAAATATATCAGTCGATTGGCGGACGACACCTCGCTCAAGCGCTAATTGTAACATGTAAGCAATGTGACAGTACTCAGTTTGCGCCAGCATACGTGACGTAAGAAGCTGATTTCGGACAAGAGGCCCACGTATAGTTATTAGTACTTGCTAGAAATCATTGGGTACAAGGCTACCAGCTGGCGCCTTAACCGTTCTCCGAACCGAGTCTCAAACTCTAATGGTTTCCCAGTTAACCTTTATGGTGACTTGCACTCGCGTGAGGGCGTACGTCTCAAAATCTCATCCGTGTTTGTGGAATCCAGCTAGTGCGTGGTACACGTCGACTTGGACTCAGCCGTGCTTACTGCCCCCACACCTATCTCCAGTCTTGATATTGAATTCCTCTTGGGGCACGTTAGGCATGGGAAGAGTAAGGTAGGTGCTGCACACGTCTACTTCTGTAAACAAATTCATGCCCAAATCGCCACAACACTTGATACTAGTGGTCAAAATTGAGGACGAAGGATGAACTGCCAGGCACTGCGCATACTGAAGTTGTAATTGCGAAACTTGATACTGGTAAGATTAATCAAGCTGCCGTTCCGGACTGGATATCAGTATAATGGACTGTTTAATTACGGAATTATTAGGCGCACCATAAAAGGATTCTGTTGGCCTCGACGTGGTTCGCCTAGGCCTCAAAGTCGGTGTCGCCTGCTTTATGTCGACTAAATTCTGCCCTCCTCATCCTAGAACACGCGCGGCCACTTGAGATTACATGTGTAAACTAAGATAACCATCTGGTCACTCATTCCTATCAATGCGTATTTCGTAAGTAACTCCATGCCCTCCGTCCACTCCCAGCTGCCTAGATGTGGGCGCGCCCTGTTTCTATATAGGCTCGGCGGCAGTGTTTAAGGACCAACGTCGAACTGCACTGCACGGAAGGGACAAATAAGCGGACTAGTCCGCCGGTAACAGGCCAGCTGTGACCTACACACTACATTCAAAATCTGGTCGGCTGGATTTTGTCACATCCCGAATTAATATAACCCGTGTCCTTGGGATGATCGTAGGGATCTTGCAGGTGTTTTTATTATGTGGACGTCGTCTCCAGAAACCTCCGTTTACATCAGAATTCTGGGAAGATTAAAGTGCAACATAACGCTTTCACGTAACGTGAAGTTGTTCATTACTCCCGGACGGTTTGGGGCAGTCGAGGGTTTTCGTTCTCGGGCCCTCTGCCGTTTATTCCAATAGGATGCTAGCCGTCGCGCGTAAATGGAGTGCAACTCCTTCTTTCGACACCGTGAGTGCTTATGGTCTCCGCGAGGTTTAGCAGCAGAGGGTCCGGGTATAGGGTTACGGTCAAAACCCTCCTGCTCAATGGGTGCTTCATGGGGTCGTTAGACGCTGGTCTTGAAAAAATGAAAATGTTTGACGACTCGTGCTTGCGAAGCATACCGCGGCTTCGGTCCAGAGATCCCGTCCGGTGAAGTTGGATCCTCATCGCCTGCTGGCACTGCATTAAGGGGTCACCGTCTTAGATGGTTTAGTCACGCACTTCACCCGCCCGAAAGAAGCTTATCCGCGACACAATTCGAGTTCGGGCTACAGCCGTGGTGACCAATTAAAGAAGCGGACATATAGAGTTAAGTCTGACCTGAAGGTGGTAGAACTTAATACATTTGGGAATTGGACGCCACCTAGGAGGTAGTTGAGGACATTGTCGGCGATCGGAGGGCATGAATCGCAATAGTTCATGACGCAGTGGACCATGGAGCTGGGTAAATTAACGTTTATGTCAACCGTCGCTAGTAAAAGCAAATTGTAGGATATAATCTTGACTGTCTTCGACCATCTTAATATTTCTATTTTTGACAAGCAATTCCAGCCAATGTAGCCAGGTTGATCTCACACTTCAACGGACCGCAACCACCTACGGAATTGTTAACCTGCCAGCAGGCGACATCTTCCTTTGCCCGGAGGCCTCTATACAACATTGCGTCCGCCTTGTAGCGAAGCGATGGCAGAGACAACAGAAAGACCGCATTAGACTGATAAGTAGGGTCAGGTACAAGTTTGCATACATATTGGCTTATTCTCACCATCATCATTCGCTCCAGATATGACCGTGCACATTGTATACACCCCAAGAAACCAGTTAGGAGGACGTCGCTGTCGTCATTCTCAAGTCGAGTGAGGAAATCCTGTTAGGGCGTCTTTGGATGTTTTTAGAAGGGCCTAGACTGACGTAGTTCCCTTATGTGGAAACTAATGTTGTTCGATCCCGTTTTCAAGCCATTGTCTTCCGAACAATCACACTAGAATTCGAACTGGATTTGGAATTTCTAAGGCTCAAATTGTTTCTCTATCTGCTTTACGTAGATTGGTAGGATAGCGGAATTGGTTTGCCAAGTTAGAACAAAGTGATTAAAGGCTAGACAGCTAGTGGATGTTGTCAGTAACAGAGGTGGTGGATCACTGTCTGCGGCTGGGTGCGCCCGTTTCAGGTCAACGCCCTTAAGGCCTCCGAAGTGTTGGTTGGTTCTATACTCTCCTGATTACTGGTTGTTTCAACTAGTTTGCGACCTGGTCTCTGGCCCCGCCTCGCACGTGCGTGACCAAGCCAGCAGAAGTAGTGGGCCTTAACTTCATGAATTACCTGACCTACGTGCTACTCTGATCGTACCAGTTTACTTTGCACCTAATAGCAAATGCTCGGACCGGTTGGGCTGTGTATCCGATGGGTTTGTCAATGTCAAAGTCCACGAATCAATTCAATTTCGCCTATTGTATTTGCGAATACTACCTAGTACGTCTGCAACGTGGTTGACCGGTTTGTTTATGTTATTGAAGAGTGCTTTTCATCAGATTCAGTGCAAAGTAGAGCTCCTAATGCATCCTAATCTCTAATTATGAGATAGTAACTGTCCAATGTCTTGATCCACCACAACCAAGCCTGATATGCAGTTGTAGCCGATGGTGGTCTTCCACCACCTGTAGCTTGGCTTTTTTTCCTTTTCTCTGCCAGCGTCCTCACCCATCAACTTCGTCCTGTACGCGTGTCTACAGCATTATCTGCGGGTTCACTGTTGATTAGGATAATGAAGTCTGCATTGCTGGACGTCGATGTCGACGACTTTTCCTTGTACCAACTAGTTCTCATTAGACTGTCAGCTCTCGTAACAGAGACATCACAATTGTTAGTACTATAGAACCCTTTGTTTTTGTTTGTTGAAAACAGGCTCGGATGGATTACCGTACTCGTAGCTCAAGTGGTGGTTGAATTTGCCAAAATCAGCGCCAACTTAAAGTTTTGTTGAGAGAAGGGGATTAGTGAAACCTCTAAATACAGTAGTGCTCTTAGTTCGTTCCTGTTTTGGAATTTTAAAGCGATTGTAGATGCACATTGTGCCCTGAATCCCCAAGCATATTTAAGCGAGTGAGCAAGAACATCCCAACCGCCAGCACAGGCGTATCTAATACCGGAGCTTGGCTTTTATGTAACATTTCCAAAGTGCAACCTTATCCGCTTAAAACGACCAATCAGTGGGTCGGCCAAACTGCATTCGAGTCCCCCGTCCAGCCTCATGGGCGGCGCACATCTTTTTCAACTACTGCCTGCTATCCTCGTGCCTGTTTACGAATAACCGGGGACCTTACGTTAATCACATCTGATAAACGTTTCCCTTATGTCGCATTATTCACCACCGACTACGCCCAACCTTCACGGTTATTTCTTGTCTAACACACCCTCGGGTGCATTACCCGAAAGATGCTCGGCGACGGACGTCCGACTGCGAGTTCGGCAGCCTGCCTCACTAGACTTCACGTTGTCAACACTGATTTTTGAGTGACAACTTTCGGGTGCGGACATTATTGGCTCGCCCGCATTCATTTTAAAGTTCGTAGTTTAACCGCCGTTTCCGCGTTCTCAGAAGCTTTGGTCGCATCTGAGGTGATCACGCGAGACGATCCCGACTAAGGTTATGTAACTATTTTTGACAGTAAGACACTTTCACTGAACCGAGTCTGGAAATATACGGAAAGTCGGTTTTATCTCATGTTGATGTTTTCTCATCTTGTGCGACAGGACAGCACCTTTGGCTGACCAGAGCGCAGTCTGGGGGCCTAATTTTTATGATATTGTTAGATAAGCTAGGGAAAGTTGTCTCTTTCCCACTCTGTCTTTCTAAAGCTTGTGAATTTTCGTTCGAAGAAGTCAAAGTCTGCAAACACACATATACGCTTGTTCATTATTAGGCCTGTACAGTAATATACCTCACGGTAATGCAGAAAAAAGGCAAAGAGGACCAGAAACAGGATACTTTAGACGTCAGAGGCAATGGTCACACTGTTGGCAAACCCAGTCCTGTACTGGTGTTCATTAGCACCCTCCGGCTGCCTTGGCCTAAGCCGTGTCTCGCGTACTTCTACGCGCACCTTGACATGTCGCGTTACAGCGACATCACAGAAACACGCCTCAGCGACGTCTTGCTCCTGCTCTCTGACCTCGGAACTAGGTCATAGTTTCACATGTTTGGCTAGTGTGGGCAGCCCTGATTCCTCCCTCCCCCATCACCTCTGCAATGGGATTTTTTCCACCCTACCCTGATGCAGGTGGCGAATGATCGACAACATAGGTTTACCGACTTTGACTTCCTCATTCTCTTCCATGGTATCATCACTGGAACTTTCTTACTTCTCCCCGTCAAGGTCAGGAAGATTATGACCGACTGCGACCGTTATCTTACCCACAAACGGACGTTTTCCTCGTATGTTTTTCCCTCGTGAGTCCCGCCTCTTTTGAGAACGTTCGTGCCAAGTGGCTGCCGGAGGTGCGCCACCACTGCCCAAACACCCCCATCATTCTTGTTGGCACCAAGCTCGATCTCCGCGACGACCAGGATACTATAGAATTTCTCAAAAGCAAACAACTGGCCCCCATCACCTACCCGCAAGTACGTGACACTGATCACCTAGATTCTTTCATGCAGTCTTCGTCATGTCCAGTTTACCATTTTTATGTATCCTCGAAGGGGTACTGATTGCCTCGTGCGGTTGAAATCTTTTTTTTTCTGAAAGTGCTGGAGGTCAGTTTGACAACTGGGACGAAGTTTTGCGGTCATACCCATGTACAAGCTTGCGAAATAAGTACGTTGCGGTAGAACAGCAAAATTGAAAATAGACGATGAACAGTAGTCATAGGCGAGAGAGCTAAGGGCGTCAGGACCAGGGGGTAATTACAGTTCTGTTGGGGACATGGAGAAGGGCAAGAGGGAGGTGCATCTGCCAATGAGTAACGCTTACCTTTCGTCGCTGGCAGGATGCGGCTACGAACATGTGGGGTTTAACTTGGTCCAGGAAAGCTTGAAAACTCGAACCAACTTCCGCGAGCACAAGATTCGGTTGGTTAGCCGTGTGGCCACCGCATCTGCAGTCCCAAGTACCTGTTGACGCAGGAACCTGGGGCGCCTCGCGGGCACCTTATGGATGGCTTGAAATGCATGGCTAACGTCTACCCTGTGACCGCTGGTCAACCAAATGAGCTACGATTACGCCAGAGGCAGATTTTCCCATGCCTTCATTCAGACAGGCAGGATGGGGCGTACACCCGCGATAGGTTTCTGGAACCCCCTTTTCAATGTTTGCCATAATGTAGGTGGCTTATTCAGTAGGTCCAACAATTTATAAGCTATGCCAGACTCCTGATATCTTTGATCCTTTGCCTCGACGAGGTGTTAGACTACCATTAAAACGCGGGATTTACAAGAACTGCTTATGGTTTACATATGAATTCCACACAGTGCATGACATGCTTGAGGCTGTGGACTAATGCGTGTCAACCGCTGCGCACACCCTCATCTCAAGTCTTCTTGACCTCGTTTCACTGCTGTGTAATGAAGGTGGATGCTGCACACGTTCCTTAGTATAGTCTAGATTACACGCAAATCATTGTGATTCCTAGGCTGTGGCAATCTACAAGAGTTAATATTTCGATTTTAAGGCTCTGACCCGATTTAAGTAAGTGCCCAGATGTGTCCGTCTGTCCCTGACTTTATCGTCCATAGCCAGTTTTGAAATCAATGACCAGTCCGGTAGCCTGATAAAGACATTTTGTACTCCAGGAGGACGACTGTGAACATTATCCACCAGGATTGTAACAATCCTTTTTTCTCCCGGGGTTCTGCCACCTTGGGTTCTGCTGTTCTGGCGAGATTTATTTGCCACTCCGTCGACCTGTAGACAGAAGGGGTGGTGTCTGAGGTGATGGAAGTTGATGTCGCGCAAGTGCTCAAGTAATTGCCAATAGAAGCGAAGAGACGAGTCCCAGGGAGCAGTCTTGAAGAAGGAGACACGATCGCTGGGACAAGAGCTTTATTAGCCTGACGTTTCGGATTCCTGCTCGAACCCATCATCAGAGACAAGCAGATACGGGTGGTTCATGCACAAGGGGCTGCAGTATTTGTAGGATGCAGTAGCCCTGAATATTTATGGCTCCCCCTTCATCAGGGATCGTTGCACATGACGTGCTGACTGTTTGATGGCCAATGTTCACGTCGTTAATTGCTGCAATTTAATCACGTGTGTTGGATGTTGGTGTGATGATTGCCCGACCATCTGACCCACCGACCCTGCGGTTGGGAAAAGTGTTCACCTGTGCGCTTTCCACGTGGCTAATTACTCCGCCTAGGTGAAGTCTCGGCACCGAGTATGGAAGGGGAAGGTCATTGCACTTGTTAATGGACTGGGGGCCAGTAAACCATTACTCAAGCAGCTCCCGGCTCACGCGGTTGTCATCTCTGACGAGGATTTCGGCCTCGTCGAATTTGAATGTGTGGCCGGATCTCGCCGAATGAGCCGCAACTGGAGAGTAATTGTTCGTCCCCCTGCTTCAATCCACTAGCAGTCCTGTCAACTGTAATTTGAGTGCATTTTACCGTTTCGCCACTTCACACAGGTAGGGGCAGCATTTAGTTATCACTAAAGCTCGCCGAGCGCGTCAAATCGGAGTTTATCTCATCCCGGCCCTCCTGCCGACTCGATCATTTTGACAACGATAAGTATATCACGGTACTTGACGGCTCGAGCGTGGCTGAACGCGCAGTAATCGCACGTATCTCGGTCACCTTTGACTAGCGCGAGAGCTGCTGCTGATGATGGCAGTTTAAAGGTCGCGTAGTAACTAAAGCCTACAAATGCCGTGAGTCTTTAGTGTTCGCCAACCCGGTTTGTCTCACTTTCTAGTGGTGGGTCCAAACAGGAATCCTACACGCCAGACGAATAGAACTCCCGCCCTAGGAGTTAATACCAGTTTGTATCACATTCCTGGAGCTCGCCCTTCTACACATGTGAGAACTGGAAGATTCATTTTTCCTGAATCTGAGCTCCATCTATGTTTGCACAGATTTTCCCGCAAAGCGAGGGTGTTTGCGCATGCTGTATGACCATCCTAGAATGAGAAAACCAAGCTAAAACATATCGGATTCCTGCGCCGTCTCACTGGCTTCTTTGCTCCGTGAGATATAGTGGCTAAGTCTTGACTGGTTATTGGTGCTTAGGTCAGAACTTTCACTTTGCTGATGAACACCGAAGAAAAAACGGAGACGCCCGTAAGTACGAAATTTCCAGGAGCCAGAAATCATTTACACAAATTTGCTGTGTGGTTGCCGTACTTCTCTCTCATTTAAGGCTTCTTTACGCACTTGTTTCGATGGCTGCTGCCATCGGTGCACGGGATGGAAGCCTAAAGCATAAACCGGATAGGCATTTGTCACCCATACGTCTCAGGAGGGCTTTAGTTCATTCAAAAAGTTGATGACACCACTTGCGTCTGAGTGCCAGTTGTTTGGAGACAGCTGGATTTCTGCTGATGTCGGCCGCTTTTTGGGATTGCGCCAGCGCCTCGCCTACCTGCTCTATTACCCGACTGACAGTAGCCTCCTGCCTGACTCCCATTAGTTATCAAGACTGAGAATTCTGGCTGCTAATTCTCACCATTCACCCTTTTCTTCCCTTCTTGTAGGGTTTGGCCTTGGCAAAGGAGATAAAGAGCGTGCGGTACCTGGAGTGTTCTGCTATGACCCAGAAGGGCCTGAAGGAGGTATTTGATGAGGCCATTCGCGTCGTCCTAGTGCCGGCCTCGAAGTCGCACAAGCGCCCTTGTAGTCTTCTCTGAGATCGCACTCACCGCCTTCTCCTTCCATTCTCCACCGTTCTTCGTCCCCTACCCATCTCCCCACCTTCCTGCTCTCTTTCTCTCCCGGTGAGAAATCTCGCGCTTCCGACACCTTCCTTGTTGCAGTTATACTACTACTGGAATACTACTACTACTGGAATACTACTACTACCACAGTTCATGGCAGGTGCCGTCAGCAACCACCTCTCGGGCGCTTGCCGCCCCACCCCCTCTTTACATCTATGTCCAACTTTGTGATTCGTTCTCCGAACGCATGTCTCA